GCGAATCAGGAATTGTGCTGTTGGCATGCTAGTTGAACTCCCCTCCAGTCTGTGAGAGTGTGTGTAAAGAGTGTGTGTAAAGAGAGTGTGTAAAGAGTGTGTGTGTAAGTGTGTGTGTAAAGAGTGTGTGTAAGTGTGTGTAAAGAGTGTGTGTAATGAGTGTGTGTGTGTGTGTGTGTAAAGAGTGTGCGTAAAGAGTGTGTGTGTAACGAGTATGTGTGTGTAAAGATTGTGTGTGTAAAGAGTGTGTGTGTAAAGAGTGTGTGTAAAGAGTATGTGTGTGTAAAGAGTGTGTGTAAAGAGTATGTGTGTGTAAACATTGTGTGTGTAAAGAGTATGTGTGTGTAAAGAGTGTGTGTAAAGAGTATGTGTGTGTAAACATTGTGTGTGTAAAGAGTATGTGTGTGTAAAGAGTGTGTGTAAAGATTGTGTGTGTAAAGAGTGTGTGTGTGTAAAGAGTGTGTGTGTGTGTAAAGAGTGTGTGTGTGTAAAGAGTGTGTGTGTGTGTAAAGAGTGTGTGTGTAAAGAGTGTGTGTGTGTAAAGAGTGTGTGTGTGTGTGTGTGTGTAAAGAGTGTGTGTGTAAAGAGTGTGTGTGTGTAAAGAGTGTGTGTGTGTAAAGAGTGTGTGTGTGTAAAGAGTATGTGTGTGTAAAGAGTGTGTGTGTGTAAAGATTGTGTGTGTGTAAAGAGTGTGTGTGTGTAAAGAGTATGTGTGTGTAAAGAGTGTGTGTGTGTAAAGAGTGTGTGTGTAAAGAGTATGTGTGTGTAAAGAGTGTGTGTGTGTAAAGAGTGTGTGTGTAAAGAGTGTGTGTGTGTAAAGAGTATGTGTGTGTAAAGAGTGTGTGTGTGTAAAGATTATGTGTGTAAAGAGTGTTTGTACGTTTGTGTGTAAAGTGTTTGCTTGTAAAGAGTTTGTGTAAAAACTGTGTGTAGTGTGTAAAGTTAGTTTGTAAAGTGTGTGTGTAAAGTGTGTAGTGTGTAAAGTTAGTTTGTAAAGTGTGTGTGTAAAGTGTGTAGTGTGTAAAGTTAGTTTGTAAAGTGTGTGTGTAAAGTGTGTGTGTGTAAAGAGTGTGTGTGTGTGTAAAGAGTGTGTGTAAAGCTTTCATAAACCACAGAACTCTGACCAAATCTTTACTGAACCTGAGATGTTGTCAAGTTTATTTCAGAGTCAGTGTCTTTGGCTCATGGGCACAAAATAATAATAATAATAATAATAATAATAATAATAATAATAATAATAATAATAATAATAATAATAATAATAAACTCCAACACACATTTATTTTTCAAATAGTTAAAATTACACTTTTTGTGTTAAAAACAACGCTGAAATATTTCACACTGAAATTTTAACCTTTCAGGTTTTGTTCTGCTTCTCAGTTTTCATCATTTCCCTGCAGACACACGACTCCGAGTGCACTGGGTACATGCCTCTGTGTGTGTGTGTGTGTGTATGTGTGTATGTATGTGTACATGCCTCTGTGTGTGTGTGTGTGTGTGTGTGTGTATGTGTGTATGTATGTGTACATGCCTCTGTGTGTGTGTGTGTGTGTGTGTGTGTATGTGACTAAAGTGTTAATAAAGTTTAATCAGGTTTAAGGCTCCGGGACAAAAGGCCCCAGGAGCCAGACTCAGAGGAACCAGAGACACTTTACGAGACCAAAGAGAGACAAGGGACACGAGGGAGACGAGGGACACGAGGGAGACGAGGGACACGAGGGACACGAGGGACACGAGGGAGACGAGGGACACGAGGGACACGAGGGAGACGAGGGACACGAGGGACACGAGGGACACGAGGGAGACGAGGGACACGAGGGACACGAGGGAGACGAGGGACACGAGGGAGACGAGGGACACGAGGGACACGAGGGACACGAGGGAGACGAGGGACACGAGGGACACGAGGGACACGAGGGAGACGAGGGACACGAGGGACACGAGGAGGGCATCTGACACAATCTGACACAACCTGACACACGGGAGGGCATCTGGTATTAGTTTAATCATGCTTTAGTCCTGGTTTAGTCCTGCTTTAGTCCTGGTTCAGTCCTGGTTTAAGTCCTGGTTCAGTCCTGGTCTAGTCCTGGTCTAGTCCTGGTCTAGTCCTGCTTTAGTCCTGGTTCAGTCCTGGTCTAGTCCTGGTTCAGTCCTGCTTTAGTCCTGGTTCAGTCCTGCTTTAGTCCTGGTTCAGTCCTGGTCTAGTCCTGGTCTAGTCCCGGTCTAGTCCTGGTCCAGACCTGTACGTGAGCTGGGTCTTGTCCAGTCGTCCTCCGTGCAGGACGAAGCGTCGGTGTCTCTGTCTCTGTCGTCTCGTCCTCTCAGACTCGTCCCGCAGAGACGGAAAGTCCGGAACCCCGCACCGAGGTCTGGACCCGAGACCCGACCCCAGACCCGACCGGGACCAGGACCAGGGCCTCGTCAGGTTCAGGGGCCGACCCGAGTCCTGAACCGGGGACTGGAGCGGCCTGGTCCACTTCTTCAGGACCGAGAACTTCTC